TCTATATTTGTGGTTCTATGAAAAGCACTTCACGTTATCTAAAATGCAATACAGCCTGTTCTCTTTCATTCAATTCTGGGTCCAGTTCACCATTTGTCACATAAATAAAATATACGTACGGGGAACAAAGGTCTGGCTATGACAGTGGGGGTTTTGGTAGAAAAAACCAGGTTGTCCCCCCGTCCTCCCTGCCCCCAACCCCTTTGTCTTCCCCTAAAGCCCTAAAATTACTAGTGCCTTCCTGACTCTTTGCTAAGTCTTAGGAAAATTTACACATAATCATACACTAGTGCACAGGGAAAGAATGACTGAAATGGAAAGGAGCAAACCAAGAGGGGTAAGTGAGTTTGCCCCTAGCCTCAGAAGAAAGCAGTAGGACATATGTAAGTTGAAAGGGATTGCTCTTCCTGAAATTTGGGCTAGAGGAGAGAAGCCAAAATGTACCTGTCCGAGCCCAGCTGGATTCCATCACTTAAGGCCTTCCCCCATTCCCTCTCCCCTTGAAGGGGAAACAGAAAAAAAAAACCAAAAAGACAAATAGGATGATGCAGAGGAGAGTTTAGACAGCCTGAGAGGTCCTTTGGTACCATTCAGTGAAACATGTAAAAGAAAATCCTAACTACAGCTACACGGCATGTGCCTAGGCAGAATCTTTGAGAGAATTCTAAAAGCATTCACAATAGTCTTCTAAGCATGTACTAGGGCTCAAAGTTTTGTTGTGTACTTACCCAAAACAGACACAGAAGAAAGCTCCCTTACACAGCAATAAAGATGGCTAAGGTGGGGCAGGGATGGCTGAAGAGAGAGATTCAGTGAGTGATGACAGGTGATTTGAGGATGGAGTGATCATTGTGGAGGTATAACTATTTGTGACTGACCGATAGAAGAAAAGCAACTGATAGCTGGGAAGTGGAGTGAGCTATGACTAAGAGTAGTTGGGACAAGTCTTCACCAAATTATAGCTGAACAGGATAGCAGTTAATTAGCAATTTAAGGTAGCCCTAGCTCTAGTTCCACAGAAGAGTGATTTAAAAGGCAAGGAGCTTCCTAGAGAGTTGTTCTGATAGCAACCCAAGGAAGCCTTTCCACCACTAACTTTGGAACAGGGTTCCCCACTCCACCCAAACCCACAAGGGTTACTTTCTTTTTTCCCCACCAGTACAGAAGTGAGTGTGTCTGTGTATGTGCATGCACGCCTTTGAATATACAAGTGTGTTTGGAAGGAGAGGGGAAAGAATTAGCTTTGTTACCACTGACTCATGAGGGGTAAGAAAAAGTTTATGGCATGAGTTTTCCTTAGTTATGTTTTGTTAGTTCAACTAAATAATTTATTATTTAATTTCTAGTGCTGTCTGAGTAGAGAATGCAGTAGATGGAAATTGAAGGCAAATGTTATTTCACTTTCTTCATGTGGACCCCAGTGGAGAGAAATAACCATCCAGGACATTACATTTCTGTGGAGGCTTATATGAGATCAGGGCCATGTGCAAATAAGAGCACAAACAGGCAAGAATGAAGTACGCTCCAATACACCTCCCCTTAATATTCCTCCTTGGGCCCATCTAGGATTTTGTAGGCTCAAGCTACAACTAACCTACAATGGCACTTCAGAGACCTAATGGGGGGAAATGTTTTCTCCCCCTTAAAATCTAGGCTATGCTTTGATAGCAAGTTTTTAGTTGTTATTTTCTACATAAGTCTTATTAGGGGCAGCTAGGTGGCACAGTAATTAGAATGCTGGACCAGAAGTCAGGAGGAGCTGAGTTCAAATCCAGCCTTGGATACTAGCTGTGTGACCCTAGGCAAGTCACTTAACCCTTTTTGCTGCCTGTTTCCTCATTTGTAAAATGAGCTGGAGAAGGAAATGGTAAACTACTCCAGCATCTTTGCCAAGAAAACCCCAAATACGGTCATGAAGAGTTAAGACATGACTGAATGACAACTAAATCGCTAGGGCAACAAGGTGGTACAGTGGATAAAGTGCCAGACTTGGAGTCAGGATGAGTCATCTTCCTGAGTTCAAATGTGACTTCAGACACTTAATAGCTGTGTGACTCTGGGCAAGTTATTTAACTTTGCCTCAGTTTCCTCATCTGTAAAATGAGCTGGAGAAGGAGATGGCAAATCACTCCAGTATCTTTACCAAGAAAACCCCAAATGGGGTCATGAAGTGTCAGACAAGACTGAAAACTACTCAACAACAATAAGAAATCTTATTAGCAATCTAAACAAATTGATTTGAAGAACACGTGAATACTAGTATTAAAGTGTTACAATTTATTTTGTTATTTTGTTAAACTATACTGTACTCCATTGTTCTCTTCATTGCTGGGGAAGATTTACTCAAACAGATTGTGCCCCTGAGGCTCGGGCAATGGGCCAACACCATGGGGTTAGAGTGGGCTATTGCGATAGGGTCTATATAAACCTATTTTAAACAAAGCACTCTTGCACTCTCTGGCTGACGCCATTTTGGGTGACACAGGGGTGTCTTTTCTCAAGAAAGCCAATAAAGCAACTTTCCTTTTTGCAATTCTTGTCAAGACTCTGATTCAAATTTGGGTGGGGGTCTTTTGTCCCACACATATGGGTTATCCATCTAACTGAATATCATAGCTTGGACAACAGACATTCTTCATCTATTTGGTTTTTCCTATGTAGACTGTTAGGTTGAAAACTTAATTTATTATGGATCTTATTTAGGAATTTCTACAATTTTCAGGCATGACAAAATGGGCACAGTATCACTAGCAAATAGAAGAATTTGTAGGATTTCACCATATACTAGGAATCCTTCCCTTTGGGCACCTTCTTTGACAATAGCAAACATTTTTATTGAGCATACATCTCTCTGATTCATGCCTCAGTTGATATGAATAATCAGACAATCATTTCAAGGAACCTAAAAAAAATTTTTTTAATATGCATGAGATGCCTTATTGGAGGAGAGCCTTTCAAGTGACATATTGCTCTACTGAATCAAATACTTTTAAAAATAGTTAACAGAGGCATGGAGAGATTTTGTATTCTCTGTGCCTTTCAGGACGGCAATAAAGACACAACTTTCTATAGAATGCCACTTTTGAAAGCCTGCCCACTCCCTTTTCACATAATTCATCAAGAATGCCTTCAATACAAATGTAGATTTTTCTAATAAGGATGGGAAAGTAGGCATATGGGTTAGTAGTTACTAGTTTTTCTTTTTTTGTAGTAATGTCTAAAATTTTTTTCTCTAAGAGTTTGCTGGTCCCTCTCTTTCACACATCTCAAAGACTGATATGACCTTCTACCTAGGGTACATATACTACACCTGGATCCTGGGAGAGGGTGGGAGAGATAAAGGGAAGAGAGAAAAAACATTCACACTGAGTATTCTCTAAATCAGGCAAATCACCTGGAAAGAAGAAAACTCTCAAAATTGGGTTTCTCCAGCACTAACTTCATCTCTATTACATAAACAAAGTTTGTATCCAAGCTAATTTCAAGGAGAGAGGGTACTAACGCGAGAGAAATAGGAAAAACTTGTGCAGGTAGTAGCATTTCACCTGTGCTTTGAGGAACCCATGGATTCTAGGAAGTGAAGATGAAATGACAAATATGTGAAATACTTGACAGATCACTTTGACTTAACAGGGAATGTGTGAAGGGTATTGAAAAATATGAAATATGACTAGAAAGGCAGGAATCATGGCTTAAAATGACAGGTTGGGAAATTTTTGCCTTGCCTCCTGGTTCCAAGCAAAAGAAGTCTAATTTTTCTTCTACATGACAATCTTCAAATGTTTGAAATAAGTCACATCTCTCCCGCCTAGGTTTCCTAATATTAATTATATTTATATTGAACTTGAAAGGATGAGGTCTACAGGCAAAGAAAAGGTTAGAAGGCATTTCAGGAAGAGTTCATAAGTTCAGTAAAGGCATAGTGGGAAAGATTATTATGTGTTGAGGGTTAAGGTAGAGGGTGAGCAGTCTAGTTCTGACGGAGTGTGAGGGTCAGGGGTGTGCTGGAACCAACTCCAACTGGCTCTGAACTGATAGTTAAATTTTTTAGTGTGGGCACTGACACCTCAGAAACTGGCAAACGCTACGAATCGGCTTGATTTATTGTCTAGTTGACTGGTGATTGTCCAGCAGACTTAACACTATGGAGATATTAATAATGCTGATTAATCGAAAAACAAAAACCTACTCCCGTCCCGTGTCTCCCCCTCCAAGTCCGTTGTTACACATTTACCTGCACACTCCCAGAAAAGTCCATGAAGGGGAATGCTGCACATGTGAGTTGTCAGGATTAGAGAGCTTTGAATGCCAGAAAAAGGAGCCTGTATTTAATTCGATAGGCATTTGGGAGCCACTGAAGGTGTTTGAACACATAAGTGACACGATCAGGCCCATCAACATCTATTTAGAAGTAATAATTCAACACCTAACTATACTATCATTCATCTCACATCTCTCCATTCTGTCCACTGGGAGAAGAGGAGAGTTTTGGCCTCACACCGACCTTTCCACGTCCCTCCTCACCTCAGAACTCTTGCAGGATTCCGAACCTACCAGGGACTGCCAACCCCCCTTCTAGTCTCAGTGTTCTCGGGGTACACTCTATAAGGACTCCCCTCCTCTATGATACGGTTTCAAATTCAGCGACTTTGGAATTGGGAGCAGAGATCCCGTCCCCCCACCTACCCCCTAATTTTTCTGTGACCCGCTGACGCGAATGACTTCTGACACCTGGGCTCTCAACAGTATCAAAGCGAGGCGGAAGGACTTCCCACATAAATCGGGGCCTCTCTACACTCGCGAAGCTATTCTCTATGGTCTCGCCACCGCGGATCTCCTCTATGATTCTCATCCGCGATGGGGAGGATGCGCGTCTTCTCTATGATCTGCTTACCTTCTATACGTCGGCGGACCTATTCTCTATAGTCTCGACAAATTATATCGTGATGAGGGGCGGCGGCTTTTTCAAATTCACATTTTTAAATTCTTTCTGTTCTTACCTATACTCAACGATAAGGGCAAAAGGTTTCTCGGCTCTGGACTACTCTCTGCGATCTCGTGGTGCTAGTCTACTTTCGGGGTGGGGGTTGGGAGAGTGGCTACACACTCTACACAGCTGGCGTGGGGCGGAGCGTGAAGCTGCCCGACTTCGCTTCCTGGTCTCTCTGGCCTCCAGCGGATCACATCTCTGTGCTCAGGTCGGGGAGGTGGCTGGAAGGGAAGGACATCCGCTATGGCGGGAGCGGAAGTGGAAGGTCTTTCCTCTCGATCTTCTCTATTGTCTGGAGGACCTATTCTTTGTGTTCAGTTTGTGAATCGGAAGCAGTTTGTTGAACCTCTCGGCCAATGCCAAGATTCTTCCTGTGAGGGCGATCTCTGCCCTCCCTTCCCCCTCCTCCCCACCTGAGACTTCAAAAGGGCCCCAGGCCACGGAGGTAGTAACTGGCTCCGAGTGAATCTCCGAGCACTTGACCTGCCTGTTGCGTCTCCTTAAAAATTCCATCGCCCTAGGGATTCTCTGATTCACATCGCTCCCCGTAGTTGTAACTTCCGAAGAGCACACGCCGGCTCCGCCCCCCTCACCACTCTCCCCGTCACCACCTTAGCTCACGAGATAGGGCATGCGCAGTAAAGCTCCTGAATAAGGCGCGTGCGCCAACGTAGCCTTACGCCACAGGCTGGTTATAGAGAGCATGCTCTTGCGGTGCGAACTGCGCACGTATATCTAACACTGCGGGACTTAAGTGACCCTATCCCATATATAGCTGCAAAAATGATTTTTTTTTTTGTAAAGCACAATTTTGACTATGTCAGTCACCTGCTCAGAAATCCTCAGGATGCGGAAAGCAAACAACGCCTGTTTGAAGATTTGTTGATAGTGGAACTCTGCATCTAGAAAATAAATAGAAAAGGGGGAGGGGGGAATCGATTTTTCACCGACCCCCAGCCCTCCACCCTTCCAAGCCCTACCTCCCCACCTCAGTTTTCTGCACATTAAAACCTCGGGCTAGGACTTAGTAGTAGTGGCTCGCTATTGCATCTCAGCCTGGCATTTAAAGCCCTCCATACTCTTAATTACAACCTATCCAGTCATTTCACATTATTCACGTTCACCCATTGTATTTTCCAGCCACCCAGGAACTACGAGGTTATTGTAAAGATCAGATGATATAGTTGTAAAGGGTTTAGCCCAATCCCTGGCATACAGTAGGTGCTTAATAAATGCTTGTTCCCTTAACTCAAATACTTACATTTCCTGGCCCAGATTCTTTGCACACTCTCACTCTGTACTTCAAATTCACTCCATCCTCATCTGTGATCAGAATCCTTACGTTCTTTCAACCATGCCTTCTTAGCCTTATCCCCACTAGTTACCAGTTTTGTTTTTTGCATATTATGCAAATTATGCATATTATTATTAGTAGTAATATTAGTAGCAGTGGCTGAAGTAGCAGCATTCCCGTGGAATGTAAGCTCCCCTGAGAGAAGGGATTGTTTGTTTTTGTCACCAGCCCCTAGCACAAAGGCTTATAATGTGGTAAACACTTAAATCTTTGTTGAATTAAATTTCACAACCCTATGACTTCAGGAAATAAATGCAAATATTATTCCCGTTTCACAGAGGAGTCCCAAGAATAATAGTAATGATAATACATAATGCTTTAAGATTTGTAAAGTTAAATCATTTGATTTTCACAACAACCCTGGGTGAAATGATTTGCCACAAACATGACTGGCATGTATGAAATTGTATATGAAAGTGGAAGACCTAGAGTGAAGTTCCCGCTTTGTCTCATGCTAGCTGTGTGGCTTTGGCAAGTTACTTAATCTCTCTGGTAAGTGGTAATAATAAATAATGGTGATGGTGGTGGTGCTAATGATCATGATCATGATGTAGTAACCCCTGTCCCAAAGCCCACTGGTGTAGACTCCCTCCTCATTGGTCAAGATGAATTTCCGGCCTTCCGTGCGGCTAGGTGGAGTTAGTGAGAGCTTCAGACTTTGCCAGTCCCCTTTGGAATTCTGCAAGAGCAATTCTATTTGGGATTTATCAAGCATAGTTGCTTCTGATACTTTCTAGTTGCTTCTGATACTTTTGGCTTCCATAATAAATATAATAATAATAATAACAAATATAGCATAGTTAGCAATTATATATCAATTAAGATAAGCAGAACACTTTCTATGTATTTCCTTATTTTATTTTAAAACAACTCTTTCAATTAGAGGATATTATTATTCCCATTTTACAGATAAAGAAATGGAGGCTGACAGAGTTAAAGTGATTTACCCAGGGTCACACACACAGCTAGTGTTTTGAAGCAAGTTTTGAATTCAGGTCATCCAGATTCCAAGTCCAAGGCTATCTGCCTAGGTCTCAACTTTACATAAGGAGATAGGAAAAAAAAAATCACTCCAAAATTATCTCCAAAAATAATAATACACAAGGCTACAAGAGACATGCAAAGCAAGTACTGCTTCTTTCTACCTTTTGTGCAGAATGGGAAAAAAAAATTTTAAACACAGCCAATGAGGAAATTTTTCTTTCTTGGCTATGCATATGTATTTAGATTTGAGGCTTGCTGCACTGTTCTCTTTTATTTTTTTCATTATCATTAGTAACTTTAAACTTAAATAGTTTTAAATAAAGTTTGGACATATCTGTAAAAAAAAGGATTTTTTTTTGCTTTATCGAATAGAGGTGAGAGAGAGAGAAAATATATTTCTTAATTGATTAAAAATTAACTTAATTAGAATTTTAAAATAAAATTTAATATAAAGAAAAGAAACAAAACAAGTACTGTTTGAGACAGAGGATAAGTAGCTTTATAGGGGGAGATAGGGGAGTAGAGAAGCCTGCATGGAAGAATTAGCATTTGTGCTGGGTGTCAAGGATGAGAATGGGTGTAGTTTCAAGAGGATCACATAGTGGAGAGATGGCATTCCAGTAGTAGAGATCCACCTGAGCCAAAGTAGAGAGCCCCCACCTAAACCTGCTAGCTACAGTTTTCTCCCTTCTCCTCTGCCTCCCCTCTGTGACCCCTCAAGCTTAACAGCTCTAGTGTTCAGGGCAAGTATTGCTGCCTTAAGGATGGGGATACACCTGTTCCTTTGTTCACCAGTGACAGTAGCTGACTCTGGGAGTTCTTGCAGGGGGAGAAACTCAGTCCTTCAGTTCCTCGAGGCACCATCCTATCTGGGATTCTTTAGTTTGTCAGGACTTGAAATACACATGACCAATTGACGCGGTCACTATCTCTCTAATAGCCCTTGTCAAGAACAGTCACCTAACTTGTTGCCATCCCCTGTGTGACCGCAGGGTCACAGGACTTAGAGCAGAAAGGGACAGTGGAAAGCATTTAGAACAGACCTGTCAAGCGTGCTGGGACCCACAGTACTCCTGCTGTGGCCTCAAGATTAAAATGTAATTGGGAAGTGTCAACATTTTTAAAAATAATAAAACATAGATAATGTTAATAATATGTGGCTTTTTTTAGTCAATATGTGACCTGCAGGCATCCTTACATATATTTTATTGGCCCCCCATTTC